GTAGGTCCCATAAAATCGGACTGAGATGTTTCACTTCCTGGGGATACATTGAAGTTACAATAGGAGAGACGGGTAGAATCCGAAAGTGGGTAATTTCGACAGCAGCTCTTCATGAAAAAAACCCGGTCGAATTTGGAATGTCGAACGAGAGTATAGGAGTTTCTCTGTTGTTATCGAGTGCAAATGACTACGAATGCGATGTGAGCGCCAGTAGGTCATTGGTAGATCGATATTGATGGTCATTCAATAAACTTTTGCGTTCGAGAAATGTACGCAGCTGATCGGAGATAATAATAATAATAACAGTAATAATAATAATAATAACAGTAATAATAATAATAATAATAATAATAATAATAATAATTACGGATGTGAGACAATGGTTATTGGGGTCAGAAGGGTGACCACGTTCTGTGATAGGAAAAAAATGACATTTTTCGGTGGGATAGGGAAACATTTTGGATCGAATGAAGAATAGAAAAGGCGGCGTAGAATATGGGTCAATTTTGGGACACACTGTCTGGACGATAGGTGGAATATCGTACAGACCGGGTGGTTAGCAAACATTTAAACCACGACGGGTTTGGTGAACGTTTCTGTTTGTTATGAAAGCTATAAAGGAGTGAATGAATGCATGGGAAGAGAATCGACAGATAAGGTAGTATTGAAGATAAACTGTAGAGCGAAGATTACCTTTTCGTGGGGTTCAGAAACACGAGTACCAGAGGAATCGCAAATGGGAGACAACTTAGATGGGCAGAAATTACTTCAAACTGCAAGGGATCAGAAAGTTCGGTTACCAGAGACGGACGAACCCAAGTGCGCCTTTGCTTCTGGCTTTCATGATACAGTTGCGGAATCTTGGGTTGGGTGAATCACGCCAGCGAGAGGCATGCTGAGTTTTTAAAATTGTATAGCACGGTTGACAGCATGATCAAACGACTAAAGGGATCGAGATTTGCCGGGTTCGGAAAGTGTGGACGATAAAGATACATACCTTGGACAAAAAGTTCGAAACAGAAGTAGAAAAATCACATTTGAAACAACAACCAAGGTTAAACAGCCCAGAAATACACAGAAATCGTGCAAGATGCATGAATCGTTACAGGAAAAAGTGCTTTTGGATTTCCGGAGGCAAACGGGGAGAGAGAAATGAAAGAAAAGGGAACTGTGTTAATGATTCGATGAGTCTAATGGGAAACGGAAGTGATGTTGAAGAAAGAAGATAAAACGGATGTGAGAAAGAGAGATCAAGGGTGAGATCGTGGTCACCAAAACGATCAGGGATGCGAGTGGGAGGTCATCTAGTTCCACTCAGATTGTTGACCACAGCAAAACCCTCAGGTTCACATTTCTAACGAACGAACTGCCTGAAGACAGGTACAGGTTATTCCTTGTTGTGGGTATTGAAATCTCCGATATGGGAAATTTGGTTGTTAGGATCTGCCACCATCGGTATTTCAATGTGGAAAATTAGTGCCTGAAAGAAGTTTTTCACTCACTCCCGATTGGAAAAATCGAGATGCGAAAGAAGAAGCGGTAGAATAACGGATATAAGCGCAGACAGCAAGTATGGAAGGAAAAGAATAGAGGAAGTAATTAGGGACCTGAAGATGACTATTGTCTGATGAGAGAGGAACAAGATTAGAGAAAGTGGTGTTCGGAATTAACATTTCAATTTAAAATACGAGTGTTAGTGAGGGCAATATATACTTACGATTTTAGCTAGGCCAAGCCAGTCATGTTGTCCATGCGCCTTTTACAGATCGTGTATTGCACTGTGGTCAGTCACGCTGTAGGTATGTAATGTGTGTGTGTGTGTATGTGTGTGTGGAGGGAGGAGGGAAGCCTATTTCGATTGGGCACATTTTGTTCATTGAAACATTGATGGCGCTTCTCAGAGAATTTTCTGATACACCGGTCTTCCTGTCTGAGGTTGCAATTCAACAGACTTTTTTTATTGATTACATAAGGATACAATTTGCAGGAAGAGGGAGGCGGTCGAACAAAGGGCTGACTCAGGTCCCCTGGAACTATAATTTGGTAACTTTTACCACTCGGTCACCACCGCCCACAAACGATGTGTTTGTGAACATTCAGTTGTAAATGGAGATGTCTT